AAACCAGTGAAAGTATAGAGAACTTTTGTCTGAATAGCTGAATTCCCGAGAACGATATTTAACAGTGATACACTGTAGACTTTTGTGCACATTCCGGCGATGAATTTATTGAGATCTGCTGTTGACGTGTGTAATCCTTGCATACTGTGTTCTGGCGATGGAATTTATTGCGTTTCCCTGTAGACTTTTGTAGTTTTTATCCTGCACGCTCCGGCGACGGAATTATCCGAGTCAGAAATGCTCTGCTTTAAACTTTTTTAACATTTGTACCAAATAGTATATTTGCGACTATAGGCGATATGGCGAGTGACAGTGAAGGCGAAGTAGATTTTCCACGTAATGTCGATCAGGTACAGATGTGGGCATCCACAATGAAGCTGAATCCAAACACAGCTTCCGAATTAATTAGACTTGGCTTCGATTCTATGGAAGCGATTTCATTGATTGAAAAAGAGGATATGCCAGCTTTAATATTCCGCTTGGGCAGCAAAAAGTGTTGATGCGAGCAGTTGGAAAAACTTTCAAGGACGGTCGCGCTGAAGCTGGGAATATGGCGGACACGCACCCTTACGGAAATGAAAACGAGGCTACACAGAGAACTTCCGCAAGGATACAAAATGGCGGCACCAGCAACCAAGATGGCGACGGTGTAAACAACAAAGATGGCGACGATGTAAACAACAAAGATGGCGACGATGTAAACAACAAAGATGGCGGCGCCCATACGTCAAACCCCCGATCGGAGGATGCCTATGTGCAAGAGATCCTAAAGATGATGTCGAGGGAGAAGAACATTACAGGACAATTTGTGAATGACTCTCATAATTCTTCCACAGGTAGAGACAATTTGCTGGTCAATGACATTTACTCATGGAAAGACCCTCAAATATTTTTTTAGTCTAAAAATTTTGATCCTAATGTGAATTTCTTTGATATAACTGATTTTGTACCTAATACTTTAGGGGGGCACTCAGAATCAGAGGAATTAGTTTCGGAATCGTCAGGAGGCAAATTAGTTTTCAAATCGGGGCCTGTCAAGCCAAAATTAGAAACATTGTCGGTAACACAATGGTCTATGGCTAATTTGTCCATAATGCATAAGTTGATAGCTATAGGAGAGTAACAATCATCCCAAGTTATGGATTATTTATCTTATACTATGCGCATTTATCTTTTTCTTTCGAGCTGTGAGTTGGTGTCTGTTTTTTTCCTTGATCGGGAATACCGACGCCTGCAAAAGCAACACCAATTTAGATGGGGTACAGACATTCCCCATCTCCATTCTGTATTTTTGAGGCCAAAGTTTTTGCAGAGTCAGAATTCCCGCATTGCACCTCAAACTCAGAGCTCGAAAGTAATGGCTAATAAACATGCAGTTACATATGCTTCTCATTCTCCGGGGGGAAGGATGATTTGCAAGAAATTCAATAGTCGTAGAGGCTGTTTTATGCCACACTGTAAGTTTGAGCATTCATGTGCTATACCTGCATGTGCTGAAAAGCACCCAGCATTTCAGCATACAAAAAACTAGATACAATGGTGAAGCCTACGCGTGCTCTTGATCTAATTTCATGGACTAATGAGTTAAGTGATGATTTTGACAAAGAATTTTTGTTATTTGGCATAGAACATGGATTTGACATTGTCACTAATGTCCCCCTACCAGAGAATGTACGCTCCAAAAATCATCCTTCTGCAAAGCCTAGTAGCCCTTTTTACAAACAGGCACATAAACAAATTTTAACAGAAATTGATAACGGAAACTATATTTTTGTCAATTCCCCCCCCCCCCCCCCAAAAAAAAATTATCAGTCTGCTTGGGGTTATCCCTAAATCTGATGGCGGAGTTCGAATTATTCATGATTGTAGCAGACCAATAGGTTTTGCAGTAAATGATTTTGCAGGAGAATTTGATAAACAAAAATTTCAAACAGTAGATGATGCATGCAAGTTAGTTTCAAAAAATTTTTATATGTCAAAAGTAGACCTAAAGGCCGCTTACAGATCTGTCAAAATAAGTGAACAAAGTAGAGAGGTCACTGGGCTTACATGGACTTTTCCTGATGGTCATGATTACACTTTCATAGATAAAAAACTTCCGTTTGGATCAAAATTAGCACCTGGTATTTTTCATAGATTATCTCAGGCAATTCGCAGAATGATGTCACGTAGAGGCTTCACCATTGTGGCATATTTAGATGTTTTTTTTATTTGCGAGAAGACAAAGAAGCGCTGCGCTCAGGCGTTAGCAATTTTAATTGCGCTGCTCAGGAAGTTAGGTTTTTGTATCAGCTGGTCTAAAGTAACAGACCCCTGCCAACAGATTGTATTTTTAGGGGTTGAGATAGATTCTACTACTTTAGAAACTAGACTTCCTATTGCAAAATTGCATGATTTGAAATCAGAATTGGCTGAATTTTAATTGCGTAAGCGTGCTTCAAAAAAGCAATTGCAATCTTTAGCGGGAAAGCTTAATTGGGCGTCTGCTGTGGTTCGAGGCGGGAGAGTTTTTCTCCGTAGAATTATAAACGGCATCATGCGATTACAGCTAGATTGGCATAAATTGCGTCTGACAGGCGAAATATTGCAAGATATAAAGTGGTGGCATAACTTTATTTCAACTTTTAATGGGAAGTCAATTTTACTTGCAAAGGTTCCTATCACCTCTGTAGCTACTGATGCTTGTAAATCAGGTGGAGAGGGTGTCTATCAAAATGATTGGTTTTATGTAAATTGGGCAGAAGATCACCCCTTTGCTTTGAAACTTCACATAAATGAATTAGAGGCTTTCTCAGTGGCGTTAGCAGTAAAGCGATGGGCCCCATATTGGCGTGGTCAGCGTATTATAGTTCATTGCGATGATGAGGTAACTGTAAGTTGCATTAATAAAGGTACATCAAAAAATGCTATTTTGATGTCCTTTTTGCGTGAGCTCTTTTGGTTATCAGCAACGTATAATTTTCACTTGATAGCTAAGCATGTTCCAGGCAAAACGAATATACTAGCAGACTGTATTTCACGGATGCATGATCTACCTTTCTGTGAACAATTTTTGCGTGAATATGTTCGACTGCCACTGTATTTACAGGATCTTGTTAGGCACATGTCTAGTAATGCCCTTCGTTTTCTTTTATTTAGGCTCACTGGTATCGAGGGAGATGAGATCACTGGATAGTATTGTTGCTAACTTTAGATGTCATACTTATGCTAAATCTACCAAAAAGACATATTTAAACTATTTCAAGTCATATGCAGAATTTTGTAGAAGATTAAATATTACCCTTGTTCCATTAAGTCCTATGAATTTAGCCAGATATGTAGCCTATTTATCTTCAAGGTTACAATTTAATTCCATAACAAATTATTTGTCAATTGTGCGGTTGCTACATTTAGAATCAGGAGTTGCATCTCCGATAGATTCCTTTTTTATGGAGTCAGTACTCAAGGGTGCTAAACGTGTGTTAGGTGCTGCCATACATAGAAAATTGCTTATTACACCAAAAATTTTGAATGAGATATTTACTTTACTGTCAGTCAGCAGTAGTAAGGACTTGTGTTTTTGGGCAGCCTGCTTAGTGGCTTTTTTCTCCTTTTTAAGGAAGTCAAATTTGTTTGCCCCCTTCAATTTCAGCTTTTGATCCTTTGCGACATTTTACTCAGATGGTGTCTGTTTAAAAGTACAAAAAACCAAAACAATTCAATTTTCAGAGCGTATATTAGAAATTCCCCTTCCTAGAGTGAAGAATTCTCATTTATGTCCCTCTAAGGCGCTTCTTTTAAATTTTAAAAAGGTGCCAGCAGTGTCAGCCCCCTCACCTGTCTTCCTGTATTTAGTACGAGGCAAGGTTACCCCTCTTACATATACAGCCTTTGTAAAGATGCTAAAACAGAACTTATCTAGGTTGGGTTATGACAGCAGCAAATATTCGGGACATAGTTTTCGCAGAGGAGGGGCCTCCTTTGCCTTAGAATGTGGGGTTCCAGCTGATCTCATACAATCACAGGGTGATTGAAAATCTAATGCATACAAATCATACTTGGATCCTTCTTTTGCACACAGACAGGAAGTCATGAACAAATTTGCAGTTGCCCTGGGGAAATAATAAACCATTTAACCTACCTTCTACTGGTTACACCACACATGTTTGGGAAGTTTGGAATACCACAGATTATTAATTAATTAATTTGTGTATTGTTTTCAAACTGTACTGTTGTTTGTGTTTTATTAATATGAAATTTAAGCATTAAACTGTGGTTCTTTTCCCAAACATGTCTTTGTTTTACACTAGTAACCATCTGGATTCACAGGTTTCCTGACTGGATTCCGATCAGAGTTAGACATTAACATGCATCTGATCTGAGACTGGTCTAGATTCCAACAGCATATATACACATACACACTATACACATACACAGGGGGGAGGGAAATGGGTGGGGCCGTTTCAAAGTGATGTGGATTAATCGCTTGCATATCATATAAAGTTATAAAGGGGATAACTGAAGAACAGTAAAAGTGAAGCTACCGAAATTTGTACTTGATTCCAGTTTAGTGGTAATAAGTACTGTGTATAAGTTTCATTACATTGGTTGAGGCAAACTAAAGTTAGAGAACGGAAACCAACTTTGGGACATACGTAAAGATGGACAAGGGTAAAACTTAATGCCCCCTACGCTACGGCGGGGGCATAAAAACGTCAATATCATAATTCAAACATATCTACGCTATTATAATAAAAGAGTGTTAGGTGTAGCAGATCGATTCCCACTTTTTCCTTGTTTCTGAAAAAAAAACACAGATAAATTGATTTTTCTGTTTTCCTAAAAAAAAATGTAACAGCACGGCAAGTTGATATGTGCTTTCAATGCAGTTATGTAACTATCTAATAAAACCATAAATTTGATCGCATATTTGGTCTCATCAGTCAGGGAATGCATCAAATTTACAATTTGTGGAGAACATAAAATACACCAATCTGACTTTTCCCTGAGACCTTCCTGGTTACATATGCTTGTAAATGTATAATATATACAGCATTTCTAAATATTCATCATTCATTTTTTTTTTAAAGATTATAACAAGCCAAAAATTGTGTTTTAGTCAATACAGCATATTCAAAATTTAAATTGATGTTCCATTGTTGAAAATAACACTTCAATTCCATCAACAACATTATTACATTTTTTATCTATCTTAATCAGGGTCTAACAAAACGTAATTTTGAACTGAACCAGGAAAGTTTCGACCTGCCAGATAGTTAAAATTGCATGCCATGCAAAATACCAAGCAAACTGACATACTGTATCAGTCAATCAGTACTAGAACTAGATTGTACAAACAATAATTACATTAAAAATGTTTTGATTTTAAGCACTAATAAAATATATTATGATAGCATTTGTTAAAATGCTTTAAATTCAGTGTTACTGATCGATACAATTTAACACACCCATCTGGCATACAAATTTATAAGCCTAATAAGTTTGATGAATTATGTTGTACTCCATTATCTTTTGCCATCTTGATTGTAAAATAGCAGAACACAATATGTCTAAATCTTTAATTGAATAATTATGCAAACGCTGAGACTGGAATGCAATTAAAATATAATCTTTAATTTATCATTTATCAGATTCCTATGACTGTTTCTATTAATAGTAAATACTAAATTTTGATGATTTGTTTTGTTTGATTGAATTTATTAACTCTAGGTATCAAAAGTGATGTAAAAAAGAATACAAATGTCACTGTACATCGTAACAAACATGTCGATTTCAGATAAAATGCAAATCAGAGACAGACATTTGCCTCCGAGGCAAGCATTCTGTGATCAATATAAGATATGGGACAACTATTGAAAAAGAGAGAAAGAGACTCTTAAATCATGCTAAAGAAAGGACAGTTACTCATGACTGGGCAAAAGAAAAATGAATTTTACAAAATAATTTGAAATCCAATCATCAATGCAACAGAGGAAAAGAAACATGTAGAGTATAATTAACTTTTTTTTTGTTTGCTGGTGGTTTGTACCACAGGATTGTGTAAGCGTCTAGTGTGGTAATAGCCATAGGTTCCTTATTACCGCTAGCTAGCCTGCTTTGTAGGTGAAAAGAAAGCCGAGTGTGTAAGTCTTTCTGCCAGTACATAGCCTCTACACTATTCAAGACTTCTACAATGCTTCCCCGCGACAGCACATGGTAACTAGGATCTAGCATCCTAGGCATTATTGTAGAGGATCTCAGAGCAACAAGGACCCTAGAGATGCAGTGTGTAGGCCCATCGTTGCGTGGACACGCCCTTGCACTCATCAACCTTGTCCCAACTATGGTAAATAGTACCACTACCTTGAAGTTAGATCTGGGAAGATCAAAGGCTATGGGAGCAGACCCAGAAAGAAAAGATGGGAAGATGGAGCTCGTCAGCCATGGTAGGCAATCGTCTATGGGAAGCAAAATCCAGACAGCAAAATTTCATCCTGCAGATAGTAGGTTTCACACATGGCTTATCACCAGGCAGAGTTAACAGAAGATGATTACGGAAACTACACAAAAAGAAACACCGAATTTCGTGAACGAGGACATACGTCATACAGATGACCAATTTTTTTTTTTTTTTTTTTATTCACGCTGCTTGAAAAGGTACTGAATTTGAAAGAGCACATACGATTTTATTGCTTTTCAAGGTAAAACCCAGAGTTCAATGGAAGGATCAGCATTGCAAATGTTTATAACATATCCAAATCATGGTAATGATTTGTGCCTAATTTGTAAGCAGCTTTTCTTTGCCAAAAGTGTAGAAAAGATATGCATAAACTGCGAATTGAAAAGCTTAACATCTATTGTACAACATAGGCATATGCAAACGGATGAATACCAGAATGAAGAAGAAAGCTTAAATTGTAAGATGAAGAAACATAATAGATACGCATGTGTTTTGTGTAAAGATGTTTCAAAATACATCATTCCTGAAAATCCACCAGAGGAAAAACCCTATAATTGTGATATTTGTAACACAGCTTTCACACAGTCATCATCTCTGAACACCCACAAGCAAATAAAACATTCCAACCAAAAGCCATATAATTGTAATGTGGGAAAACATTTGCAATAAAAAATTATCTAACTGTGCATTCACGCACTCATAGCAGAGAAAATATATCTTATTTTTATATGGTATCAGGGTATTGAACTTAGAATATTTTGTACCTACATTTTGATATACATTATTTACTAGTGAAGAACATTCTAAGTTTCCATAATGCATTTCATACATATACATGCGCATAGCATCTGGTAGGTTGATATTACTAATATTTTGGTCTAAAGAAATTTCAAAACCATTATTAAGAACTAAAAAAATGATTAGTCATGCATGCCCTTCAGTAATATATTGTTATCATAAGCATTGTATCTTTGCTGAGTTTTTTTTATCATGCAGCAATATAAAATTTGTCAAGATTTTTCGTAAATCAAGACAAATCCAAATAATTGAGAGGCAGAAGAAACCAAACGAAAATTCAATCTAAACTAACAAAGCAATGGCAACAAAAAAAAAACAACAACATAAAAAACATGACAAGCAGCAGTCTACAAAACACAACATTGAAAACTAAAGACTGAGAATCGAATAGGTGCTCCGATAGGGTAAATAGGTCCTGCTGCACCTATCGTGCTATATGGTTACAGATGACAGCAAGAATTATACACTATGGTACAGTTGAACAAGGATGTTACAGGTAGCAGTAGACGGCACAGTTGACAAACAATGTTACAGGTAGCAGTAGATGGTACAGATGACAAATGATGTTACAGGTGGAGGTAGATGGTACAGTTGACAAACAATGTTACAGGTGGCAGTAGATGGTACAGTTGACAAATTATGTTACAGGTGGCAGTAGATGGTACAGTTGACAAATGATGTTACAGGTGGCATAAGATGGTACAGTTGACAAACAATGTTACAGGTGGCAGTAGATGGTATAGTTAACAAGTGATGTTACAGATGCCAGTAGAATGTACAGTTGACAAATGATGTTGCAGATGGCAGTAGATGGTATAGTTGACAAATTATGTTACCAGTGGGCAGTGGCAGTAGATGTTCAAGTTTATAAACAATGTCACAGCTGGCAGTAGATGGTACAGTTGACAAATGATGTTACAGATGACAGTGGATGGTACAGTTGACAAATGATGTTACAGGTGGCAGTAGATGGTACAGATGACGAATGATGTTACAGTTGACAGTAGATGGTACAGATGACTAATGATGTTACAGGTAGCAGTAGATGGTACAGTCGTCAAATGATGTTATAGATGGCAGTAGATGGTACAGTTTATAAACTATGTTACAGGTGGCAGTAGATGGTACAGTCGTCAAATGATGTTATAGATGGCAGTAGATGGTACAGTTTATAAACTATGTTACAGGTGGCAGTAGATGGTACAGTCGTCAAATGATGTTATAGATGGCAGTAGATGGTACAGTTTATAAATATGGTTACAGGTGGCAGTAGATTGTACAGATGACCAATGATGTTACAGGTGGCAGTAGATGGTAGAGTTGACAAATGACGTTACAGATGGCAGTAGATGGTACAGTTGACAAATGATGTTACTGGTGGCAGTAGATGGTAAAGTTGACAAATGATGTTACAGGTGGCAGTAGATGGTACAGTTGACTAATGATGTTACAGGTAGCAGTAGATGGTACAGTTGACTAATGATATTACAGTTGGCAGTAGATGGTACAGATGACTAATAATGTTACAGGTGGCAGCAGATGGTACAGTTGACAAATGATGTTACAGATGGCAGTAGATGGTACAGTTGACAAATGATGTTACAGGTGGCAGGAGATGGTACAGTTGACAAATGTTGTTACAGATGGCAGTCGATGGTACAGTTGACAAACAATTTTACAGGTTGCAGTAGATGGGACAGTTGACAAATGATGTTAAAGGTGGCAGGAGATGGTACAGTTGATAAATGATGTTACAAATGGCAGTAGATGGTACAGTTGACAAACATTGTTACAGGTGGCAATAGATAGTACAGTTGACAAATGATGTTACAGGTGGCAGGAGATGGTACAGTTGACAAATGATGTTACAGGTGGCAGTAGTTGGTACAGTTGACAAATGATTTTCCAGATGACAGTAGATGGTACAGTTGACAAATGATGTTACAGATGACAGTAGATGGTAAAGTTGACATATGATGTTACAGGTGGCAATAGATGGTACAGTTGACAAATGATGTTATAGATGGCAGTAGATGGTACAGTTGACTAATGATGTTGCAGGTGGCAGTAGATGGTACAGTTGACAAATGATGTTATAGATGGCAGTAGATGGTACAGTTTATAAACTATGGTACAGGTGGCAGTAGATGTTACAGTTTATAAACTATGTTACAAGTGGCAGTAGATGGTACAGTTGACAAATGATGTTATAGAATGCAGTAGATGGTACAGATGACGAATGATGTTACAGGTGGCAGTAGATGGTACAGTTGACAAATAATGTTAAAAGTGGCAGGAGATGGTACAGTTGACAAATGATGGTACAGGTGGCGGTAGATGGTACAGATGACTAATGATGTTACAGGTGGCAGTAGATGGTACAGTTGACAAATTATGTTACAGGTGGCAGTAGATGGTACAGTTAACAAATGATGTTCCAGATGACAGTAGATGGTACAGTTGACAAATGATGTTACAGGTGGCAGTAGATGGTACAGTTGACAAATGATGTTACAAGATGCAAGAGATGGTACAGTTGACAAATGATGTTACAGGTGGCAGTAGATGGTACAGTTGACAAATGATGTTACAGGTGGCAGTAGATGGTACAGTTGACAAATTATGTTACAGGTGGCAGTAGATGGTACAGATGACAAACAATATTACAGATGGCAGTAGATGGTACAGATGACAAACAATGTTACAGGTGGCAGTAGATGGTATAGTTAACAAGTGATGTTACAGATGCCAGTAGATGGTACAGTTGACTAATGATGGTACAGGTGGCAGTAGGTGGTACAGATGACTAATGATGTTACAGGTGGCAGTAGATGGTACAGTTGACAAACAATGTTACAGGTGGCAGTAGATGGTACAGTTAACAAATGATGTTCCAGATGACAGTAGATGGTACAGTTGACAAATGATGTTACAGGTGGCAGTAGATGGTACAGTTGACAAATGATGTTACAAGATGCATGAGATGGTACAGTTGACAAATGATGTTACAGGTGGCAGTAGATGGTACAGTTGACAAATGATGTTACAGGTGGCAGTAGATGGTACAGTTGACAAATTATGTTACAGGTGGCAGTAGATGGTACAGATGACAAACAATATTACAGATGGCAGTAGATGGTACAGATGACAAATGACATTACGGATGACAGTAGATGGTACAGATGATGAATGATGTTACAGGTGGCAAAATATGGTACAGATGACAAACAATGTTACAGGTATCAGTAGATGGTACAGATGACAAATGATGTTACAGGTGGCAGTAGATGGTATAGATGACAAATGATGTTTGAGATGGCAGTAGATGGTACAGTTGACAAATGATGTTACAGATGACAGTAGATGGTACAGATGACGAATGATGTTACAGGTGGCATAAGATGGTACAGATGACAAATGATGTTACAGATGGCAGCAGGTTGTACAGATGACAAATGATGTTACAGGTGGCAGTAGATGGTACAGATGACAAATGATGTTACAGGTGGCAGTAGATGGTACAGATGACAAATGATGTTACAGATGGCAGTAGATGGTACAGATGAGGAATGATGTTACAGGTGGCATAAGATGGTACAGATGACAAATGATGTTACAGGTAGCAGTAGATGGTACAGATGACAAATGATGTTACAAGTGGCAGGAGATGGTACAGTTGACGAATGATGTTACAGGTGGCAGTAGATGGTACAGATGAGGAATGATGTTACAGGTGGCAGGAGATGGTACAGATGAGGAATGATGTTACAGGTGGCAGTAGATGGTACAGATGACAAAAGATATTACAGATGGTAGTAGATGGTACAGATGACGAATGATGTTACAGGTGGCATAAGATGGAACCGATGACAAACAATGTTACAGGTATCAGTAGATGGTACAGATGACAAATGATAATACAGATGGCAGTAGATGGTACAGTTGACAAATGAGGTTACAGGTGGCAGTAGATGGTACAGATGACAAATGATGTTACAGATGGCAGCAGGTGGTACAGATGACAAATGATGTTACAGGTGGCAGTAGATGGTACAGATGACAAATGATTTTACAGGTGGCAGTAGATGGTACAGATGACAAATGATGTTACAGGTGGCAGTAGATGGTAAAGTTGACAAATGATGTTACAGGTGGCAGTAGATGGTAAAGTTGACAAATGATGTTACAGGTTGCAATAGATGGTACAGTTGACAAATGATGTTACAGGTGGCAGTAGATTGTAAAGTTGACAAATGATGTTACATGTGGCAGTAGATGGTACAGATGACAAATTATGTTACAGGTGGCAGTAGATGGTACAGATGACGAATGATGTTACAGGTGGCAGTAGATGGTACAGATGACAAACAATGTTACAGATGGCAGTAGATGGTACAGATGACAAATGATATTACAGATGACAATAGATGGTACAGATGACGAATGATGTTACAGAGGCATAAGAAGGTACAGATGACAAATGATGTTACAGGTGGCAGTAGATGGTACAGCTGACAAATGATGTTACAGGTGGCAGTAGATGGTACAGATGACAAATGATGTCACAGATGGTAGTAGATGGTACAGTTGACAAATGATGTTACAGATGACAGTAGATGGTAGAGTTGACAAATGATGTAACAGGTGGCAGTAGATGGGACAGATGACAAATGATGTTACAGGTAGCAGGAGATGGTACAGTTGACTTATGATGTTACAGGTGGCAGATGGTACAGTTGACTAATGATGTTACAGGTAGCAGTAGATGGTACAGATGACTAATGATGATACAGGTGGCAGTAGATTGTAAACCGGACAAATGATGTTACAGATAGCAGTAGATGGTACAGTTGACACATGATGTTACAGTTGGCAGTATATGGTACAGTTGACAAATGATGTTATAGGTGGCAGTAGATGGTAAATTTGACAAATGATGTTACAGGTGGCAGTAGATGGTAAAGTTGACTAATAATGTTACAGGTGGCAGTATATGGTACAGTTGAAAAACAATGTTACAGATGGCAGTAGATGGTACAGAGGACAAATGATGTTACAGGTGGCAGTAGATGGTACAGTTGACAAATGTTGTTACAGGTGGCAGTAGATAATACAGTTGACAAACAATGTTACAGGTGGCAGTAGTTGGCAGTAGTTGGTACAGATGACGAATGATGTTACAGGTGGCAGTAGATGGTAAAGTTGACAAATGATGTTATAGATGGCAGTGCATGGTACAAATGATAATTGAGTATACAATATCTCTGTATCAGGTGTGGAAACAGTCTTGTAGTATACAATATCTCAGTAGCAGGCATGAAAACAGTTTTGTAGTATACAATACTTCTGTACTCTTGGAGAGGAACATCATGTTAGTTTAAGTAGTAAACAAATAGTTTATAAGCTTACCATAAACTGCATCATGTTTTGCACCAGTCATGTAATGAAGACCTGCTGCACTACCTACAATAAAATAAAAATTGAATATTTATTATAATTGCCACTTACAGCTTGTTTACAAATTAATTATACATGAAGATACCTATTTTCTACAAAAATAAATGAATCTACAGTATTGTACAATTGTCAAACAATGAAGTTTGGTTTTATAAATCCAACATATGCCCAAAACAAGAAACATAGAAAGCATGCAAGAGATTTGGCATATTGTCATGATATCTTCAACTGAACCAAATTTTAAATCAATACTATGATTTGTTGTTCTGGCTGTGAGCTATTAGAGTATAAACTACAGGTAGTGATGTCAAATCAAACAGTTTTGCCTGAACAGTAGGATAAAATTTGATTTAACAGGTTAACTGGTATCTATATATATATATATATATATAATACCAGTTAACCTGTTAATCTGTCAAATTTAAATTAAAAAATGGACAATTGTACATTATCGTGATATGATAAGTTTATCCTTTGGCATTATAAGGCTCTTTGAGCGTTCCCAGTGAAGTTTTTAATTTTTACTTTAGGTAATCGATTTTTTTGTAAAAGTTAACAGACAACTGAGTCAGATGAGGCCAAGTTATGATAAATGAAATAATGTAGTAAATGGTAAAATTTAATCTGCTTAAAACTGTTAAAAATACATATATATATTTAGGTTTACAAGGTTAACAATAGCAATCAATATATTGGACAATAGATCTGTCAAATCAATTACCCCAGACAATATTAATACTTTTAATTCACATTTATATAAAATCTATTAAAATTGCCAAAACATCTGCTAATCAGTTAGTATTTTTTGTATTTCATATTGGGTCCTTCTGACAGTTAACCAGTTAAAAGTTGACAACATTAGTATAAACAAAGTAGTTCTAAATAGTTTGGAAAGTAATACAAATTGTTTATTTCTGGATCTTTATTCTGTCTTAATTTAACACAAAATGATACATTTTTTACAGAAAATATATTTATTGAAATATCAACCTTTATAGAAAAAAATTATTAATGTCATTTCCAGGACATGAAAGGTGCAGAAGTTTGATACATGACTAATAGCAGTTTCACTTGTTTAATTTACATGAAATACGTAGTAAATAAAGTGCCAATGAGACAACTCTCCATCCAGGTCACAATTCATAAAAGTAAACCACTATAGGTCAAAGTACAGTCTTCAACACGGAGCCTTAGCTCACACCGAACAGCAAGCTATAAAGGGCCACAAAAATGACTAGTGTAAAACAATTCAAACCAGAAAACCAACGTTCTAATCTATATAAACTAGCATCTTCGCTAGCCAAGGGTTACGATCCACTTCCCTCCTCTCCACCCTTGGCAGATTAAGCCAACATTTGTGATAACAATATGGTGCCATCTATCGGTAGATTAAAGTCACGTCCATTCTGAACACATTATTCTTGACCAATGGTAGCACTCGAACTCTTCAATTTGGAGGAAAAACACGGTAGCGTCTAGATTCTACACACTTGGTAAAGCAGGAAACGAAAATATACGTTGACATTCATACACAGGAACTTCTATTAGTTGATTAAAAACATTCAAATTGTCACTAAATATAGTCGTATGTTTAGGGATGTAAAGACTTGTTGCACAATAAGCATGTGGCAATTGTTTACATACACTTTCTACATTTACACATGATCATGTTATAGGCGCTTTTTGATTGGATGTAGGGAGTTTCGACTGCAACCAATGAAAATCATGACCTTGTGTCTCCGAAATTCTATCTCAATCCGCCAAGGGTGGAGAGGAGGGAAGTGGATCGTAACCCTTGGCTAGCGAAGATGATAAACTAGAGGCTCTAAAGAGTCTGTGTCGCTCACCTTGGTCTATGTGCATATTAAGCAAAGGACACAGATGGATTCATGACAAAATTGAGTTTTGGTGATGGTGATGTGTTTGTAGATCTTACTCAACTGAACATTCTTGCTGCTTACAATTATCTCTATCTATAATGAACTTGGCCTAGAAGTTACAGTGGAAAATATTTTGTAAAAATTTATAAAAATTGACTATAAAGGGCAATAACTCCTTAAGGGGTCAATTGACCATTTTTGTCATGTTGTCTTATTTGTAGGTCAACTTTGCTGTACATTATTGCTGTTTACAGTTTATCTCTATCTATAATAATACTGAAGATAACCAAAAGCTGCAAAATTTTCTTAAAATTACCAATTCAGGGGCAGCAACCCAACAACGGGTTGCCAGATTGGGCTGAAAATTTCAGAGCAGATAGATTTTGACCTAATGAACAATTTTACCCCTTTGTCAGATTTGCTCTAAATGCTTTGGTTTCAGAGATATGAGCCAAAAACTGCATGTTACCTTATGTACTATTTTTCGCCATGTCAGACCATCTTGGTTCACGGGTGGGGTCATCGGACACATTTCTAAAACCATATACCCTAATGATGATTGTGGACAAGTTTGGTTAAATTTGTCTAAGTAGTTTCAGAGGAGAAGATTTTTGTAAAAGATTACAAAAATTTACGAAAAAATGTTAAAAATTGACTATAAAGGGCAAAAACTCCTTAAGGGGTCAACAGACCATTTTGGTCAAGTTGACTTATTTGTAGATCTTATTTTGATGAACATTATTACTGTCTACAGTTTATCTCTATCTATAATAAAATTCAAGATAATAACCAAAAACGGCAAAATTTCCTTAAAATTACCAATTCAGGGGCAGCAACCCCACTGGGGTAAATGTGATCTCCATAACTGCAGTTACGTATATCCAAAGATGGTGGACGACTTTCTAGTCAATATTTCTTTTGTAGATTGTGAAATAACTATGTTCTATTCTTCGGTATTTTGTGTCTTATAAGACTAATTTCCTAAATTTGAAACTGAAATACTATGGGATTTTTCATAGTTTAACTGCTAAAAGGAGAAATCGGTCGTCCAAAAAACGTGATATGGGTAACTGAAAAAAATAAATTGCCGTTGATATAGGTAACTGGAAATATAGATATCTGTAACTGATTTCATTTCTATACATTTGTCCTTCTCGTTTGAGATGAAATTAGTGTCTCAGATTATTGAAATCATTATAAATCAGTATCGGAATTGTTCTTGAAAGTCTGGAGTCGATTCACAAAAAAACTTACGACTAAAATTACCCAAGTGAACCCAACAACAAGTTGTCCGATTCATCTGAAAAATTCAGGGCAGATAGATCTTGACCTGATAAACAATTTTACCTATGTCAGATTTGCTCTAAATGCTCTGGTTTTAGAGATATAAAAGCCAAAATCTACATTTTACCCCTATGTTCTATTTTTAGCCATGGCAGCCATCTTGGTTGGTTGGCGGGGTCACCGGACATATTTTCAAAACTAGATACCCCATTGATGATTGTGGCCATGTTTAGTTAAATTTGGCCCAGTAGTTTCAGAGAAGAAGATTTTTGTAAAAGTTAACGACGACAGATGACGAACGCCAAGTGATGAGAAAAGCTCACATGGCTCTTTGGGCCAGGTGAGCTAAAAACGAGAAACACTTATGAACCATATGAACAAATGACAACTACTGAACATCAGATTCCTCACTTAGGACAGGTGCAAACAATTGCAGTCGGTTTAAACGTTTTAATAGGTACCAACCTTCACCCTTATCTGAAACAATAGTGTACCATCACAACATAGAAAGACACACTATAAAATATCAATTGAAATGGCTTAACTCAATCAAAAGACATATTAACACAAGTGAACATACACTGAACGAATTAATTTAATCCATGATATAATGTAAATACAAAATCAATAAAATAAGGGGTGAATAATTAAAGTAACAGTATTATACCGCTGTTTATTTTGTTTTATCATGTGTATTTTCATATCATTTTATGCAGTTGTATTGAAAATTTTCATTTTACTTGACTTTCATACTAATATATGCCCTTTATGTTGCATATTTGTTAATGCTTTTCCTATGACGAGGGCCTCAGGGAAGATCAGTTAAATAGAACTGTGTTACCCTCTAAAAATAAAGTTGTTGTTGTTAGTTCTGAGCCTGATTATGAAAGGTTTTGCCACCTACAGCAGTGGTAATTAATCTATTCCAGGGGTAGATAAAGTATTTGAACAATTCAAAGATTATAAACAGTTAATTTATTAAAATAAACACATACCTTACATAGAATATTTATTCTTCCTCTGCTGATAATTTTTCCTGGTCTTATTTCTTTCATTGAAGACTTTGTATTTTATAAGATCTCTTCTAATAACAGGGTCTGTTTCATTGGCCATTACTTTTGGATATTTTTTCATAAATACTTCAATGGCCTTAAAACCTGAAATACAATATTATTTTAATGAATTTTTTAAAAGTTTTTAATGTTCAACACAATAAACTGTTAACACAGAGATATGTCACACTTTTTTGTAATTTTGATAATGCAAATGTTGAAATTAAAAAAGCAATAGTTATGCAAATATTCAAAGTGAATGAACCATGACTGATGGTACATGGCTAAACAATCTCCATGGAAATGAGATGTGCCAATGCTAATACAACTGCATACCAAATATCATTGACTTATCATAAGTCATAAGTCGTTTCCTTTAAACAAACCTACACACAAACATAATTTATTTAACTTGTAAACTATGTAAAAGTTTCAAAGTCAATGATCCATGATGAGGGGGTTGCGACTATATAATCTCCATGGAAACAAGACTGGGAAATGTGATGTGCTAATCCTTATACAACTGCAAACCAATTAACATGGGCCTACCACTAATCATTCAGGTTCCCCTAGCCTTGAACTGACCTGATCACAAACTATAATACATGTAAACTAAGCAAAAGTTTCAAAGTAACTTGACCATGACTGAGGGGGCGGTACCAAATAATATCCATGGAAACGAGATATTCCAATGCTTATACAACTGCATACCAAATATCATTGACCTACCACTTATGTATAGTGATTCTCCATAAACTTTTGTAAGGTTGACAAAAATAACTATCCATAAACACTGATCCAGCTAGGTGGTTTTCAGAGGGGTGGTGCCCTGTGCCCTTTTTAAAGTTTCCAGGGTGCCTTTTGCCTTTTTCATAGTGCCCTGACTTTTTGAAATCAATTGTATTTTATTTTGTTCGTTTTGTTACATCGAGATGACTGTGAGGGCATTCCGATGTATTGCTATCGCCTAGATTTGCACACGTAACTTTCGTTTTGGGTTTGTAACCAATCTATAAACATGATAAATATGTGGATATTAACTAGTGCAAACTAACATTTCTTATCGTTTGTTATAAATACATCTCTTCAATGAATACTGATAAAAATATGTTTGTTTAGAACATAAATTAATAATATGAAAATGTTTTGTCGTTAGATATATATATATAAAAAATAAGTAAAAAATCATTGATAATATCTACGCAAACGTACCAAAAAATTGTGTTAAAGCATGCGGAAGAATATCTCAAAAACGTTATGCGACAATCCCGGCAAGGACCGGTAACTCTGTAATTGTTTTTGCGGGAAAATATGAATGCCTGCTCAGATCAAATCTTTTAGAAAAATCGAATTTTTACAGACGAGTGTCCACCATGCACTTGCACTGCACTATTATTAGAATAGTAGAATAGAATGATATACAAATGGATGAAAATTATATATACATGTAACTGTTATATTAATATAATATATAACAACAAACCAGTGTATACTGATTTGTATCACTACTATATAATAGTTATTACGGTGAGGTTGAATTTCCTGTCATTTATTTATCATCCACGAACGAAATTGTCTCAAAAAAATATATATTTCTGTACATTAACCTCAGTTTCAGGTATAGAGATGTGATTTTTTTCTGTGATAAGTGCTTTTGACCATCCACAAGAACTTGCGGTCATTTGATGTTCAGTACTTCAGTACTTTGATTATGATCTGCTATTTCGAAATTAAACTGCCTTGTCAACACTGCATGCTCATTGTAATATAAATAGGTAAAAATATGTTTAACTGTTGTTAACAGCTGATCAGTACACAAGTTAATTAATGATGATTTGAACTCATTAAATAAGTATCTATATAACATTATGAGTTTGTGTTTCTTGTCTTATTCCAGTCACAATGCCCAAGTGTGAAAGACGTTTACAAGAGGAAATTAAAAAATCTAAAGAGACGAAGTCAGAAGTTTGGTCGACATTTTTAGTACTATGTGGGTCTTCTGTGTCAATTTTGACAGTTCCAATTTTAAATTGAGTATTTGATATTTGTAGAAAAACTTTGAGATTTTTTAACCTTTTAGATTTTACAAATGAAACTTTCTAACAATAGTCCTGGGCTATGATGATAATTGAAAAAAAACATCTTAAATTTTTAAAAACCTTTTTGATGTTTCAAATCATTCTTTCTAAATTCTAAAAACAAGAAAAAATATTTTTTCAGAATTTGGAATGGAAGTAGTAACTAGACTCTCAAGAGCCTGTGTCGCTCACCTGTATTTACTGATGCTTTAGAAATCATGTAAAATAAGGTTAAACTCATAATTAATAGTATTAGATATTAGATATTATAATGATATCTAAAGCATTTTTTTTACCGAAATGACCTCTTATTTATTGATTAGTTTCTGATACAGTTAATCATAAGAATACCGCTAACTTAGATAATTATTTGTTACAAGTATTCAAACGATTTGTAAATTTTACGATTGATTAGATTTGATCGGACCTTTGATGTACTCACTAATAAGGTTACAAAATTATCATGAGTGTTTACAACTCTTATATAGTTTGACACTTATTAATATGGGGTAATTACCTGATAAGAGTACCTTACACTCTTATCCTAATTGACACTTATTAATAAGGGTATACACACCTGACAGTCATTTTATAAAATACATTTATGTACAATGCCCTTTGGCATTTATCTTGTTAAAACTAACATATACCGTTATTGACCTGTCAACAGGGAAAACAGATTGTTTACAAAATCCTTTAACCATGTTAACTTCAAAACTACCAAATGTATGCATAAATTTTCGCAGAATTTATTTTCGCGATTTTCGTTTATCCGCGAAAATAAACACCCCACGAAAATAACCCGCTATACGGTATCAGACAAATTATGGCATCGTCAATATTTTGTAGCCATGGTCTACCTAACTGCCATATGGAATCAAAACATACTGCATAAAAGCTAAACTGTGACAAGCAATACTTTGAAAACTTGTGTAACAAGGTGCTTGACAAGTTTTACAGCTTAATCAGACACATTTTGTTTAACTAGATACTCTTAGAATGATGATTGTGGTCAAGCTTGGCATAATTTGTCTCAGAGGAGAAGATTTTTGAAAAAGATTTAAAAAATTTACAAAAAAATTGTTAAAATCTCACTATAAAAGGCAAAAACTCCTTAAGGAGTCAATTGACCATTTTGGTAATGTTAAATTATTTGTAGATCTTACTTTGCTGTACATTATTGCTGTTAACAGTTTATCTCTATCTATAATAATATTGAAGATAATAACCAAAAACTGCAAAAATTTTTAAATTACAAATTCAGGTGCACAACACAACAACGCATTGTCTGATTTGTCTAAAAATTTCAGGGCAGATATAGATCTTGACCTGATGAACAATTTTACCCCTTTGTCAGTTTTGCTCTAAATGCTTAAGTTTCAGAGATTTTAAGCCAAATCTACAATTTACCCCTATGTTCTATTTTTAGCCATGGCTGACACATTTTTTTTTAACTAGATACCACAATGATGATTGTGGCCAAGTTTGTTTAACTTTGGCCCAGAGGAGAAGATTTTTGTAAAAGTTAACGACGGACAACGGACGCCAAGTGATGAGAAAAGCTCACTTGGCCTTTTTGGCTAGGTGAGCTAAAAACTTATGCAGTGTCAAAAAATACTTTTTTCATACTGAAACCTTTTAAAAACTTGCCCTTATACTATAACATACCAGGTAGTGATCCTTTGGACTTTTCTTTAGACACGTCTTCGACATAATCCTTGAAGTATGTTCTTACAACCTTTTCATCCTCCTTATTCCAATTAACATATCTCCTTCCTACAATGAAAATTACTATGGTCACTTAGTACTCTTTCAATAAAGGTACAAATTTAATAACAAACCCAGAAGTTTCAGTGAAGATTTTTGAAAAAGTTTACGACGACAGACATCGACAACTAACGACAGACGCCAAGTGTGATGACATTAGATCACATAGGCACTTTTGAACCCGGTGAACTAAAAATGATACCCTGTTGCTGTAGTGCCCAATTTGAAATTGACTTCAAGATGATAGTTACTTTCATTCAATGCTTTAAAATTGGTAATTCAGGGCTCGACAATAACGCTTGTCCGATTGTCCGGTACCAGAGGGAAAAAGGGTCGGACAAGTAAAAACTATATCAAGCTTGTCCGACGGGACAAGTAAAATTATTCTGCATAAAATAAATTTAATCCAACTTTGATGAAAACAAGACATGTTTACTTGCAATCGATAATTTAAAACTGGTTCTTTGTCAGGTACTTTTTAACAGGTAAAATGCATACTATTCTCGGAAACCAGTCTTACTGATCCGAATCAGCGATGCGCTTTGTAGATAAGGTAACTTTACAAGACAGTTCGTCACAAGCTCAGAAACGATTCGGCTCCAAGTTTAACATGTTTAATAGACAGTTTGGCCCCATAGGAGACATATTTAATAGACATGATTAATAGACAGTTTGGCAACGCAGGAGACATTTCGGGACCAAGACAAATCAGTACCTCATTTTCCTACCTTATTCTGTTGCTTTATAATAAATAACATACCGGTAATTTTTTTAACAAAAATATTTTTTAGATAAAAATGAAAAATTATTTACCATTAAATTCACAAAATCATATTTGATCATATGTAGAAAAAAAAAACAATACTTGCAATACGGTGACCTATAGTTGTTAATTTCTGTGTCATTTGGTCTCTTGCAGAGAGTTGTCTCATTGGCAATCATACCTCATCTTTTTTTTATTTATTGCATTTGAATAAACTTTTTTCAACTTTAAAAAACCAGGATACAAATCCAATGAGTGTACATTGACAGCCCTATCAGATGGTGCCTCATGTGCAGAATCTGATGAGACTTTGGCATTGAGGAACTACAAGTAGAACCTAAGTTCTGTGACATGACTAGATTCAGTTAATTGTATTCGACTCATATTTTTGAATAGTATTTCAAAAGATATAAATCAAATTCTGTTCTATTGTTTTAATTCTTTTTGTTCCTTGAATCAACTTAAAATGCAAAAAAGGTTATTATTAAGATTTTTTTGGACAAGTTACAATTTCATTCGGACAAGTAAGTTTTGGTATGTACTTGTCCTACTGGACAAATTGAAAAAAAAGTTATTGTAGAGGCCTGTACTTGTTACCTGGCTACGTAATTAATACTTGAATAGTATAATCTTTTAAACATCTAATCACTTATCTCAGTGTTATCTATTTATGGTTAAGCACAACTTCATCAGTAATACTACATGACTGTCAGTCTCAAAGTACAATCTTTCTTACTATTGTAATAGCCTGATCTAAATTAGAAGTTCAGAGGAGCCTGTGTCTCTCACCTGAAATTTTTGTTTACAATTGATGGATGAAATAATGCAACCATTATACTTTTGCTTTAGTTTCAGAGATATAAGCCAAAAACTGCATTTTACCTCTATGTTCTATTTTTAGCCATGTCAGCTATGTTGGTTGGCAGGCGGGATCATTGGACACAATTTTTAACCTAGATAACTTATGATGATTGTGGCCAAGTTTGGTTAAATTTGTCTCTGTAGTTTCAGGAGAAGATTTTTGTAAAAGATTTCAAAAATTTACAAAAAATTGTAAAAAAATTACTTTAAAGGGCAACAACTCCTTATAGGGTCAATTGACAATTTTGGTCATGTTGACTTATTTGTAGATCTTACTTTGCTGAACATTGCTGTTATCAGTTTATCTCTATTTATAATAATATTGAAGATAATAACTAAACATGCAAAATTTCCGTAAAATTACCAATTCAGGGGTAGCAACCCAATGACGTCTTGTCTTGTTCGTCTAAAAATTTGTAGCAGATAGATCTTAACCTAATGAACATTTGTAAACCTTATCAGGTTTGTTCTAAATGCTTTAGTTTCAGAGATATAAGCCAAAAACTGCATTTACCCCTTATGTTCTATTTTTAGCCATGGTGGCCATGTTGGTTGGTAAGCGGGGTCATCCAACACATTTATTAAAACTAAATACCCCAATGATGATTGTGGCCAATGCAAGTTTGGTTAAATTTGGCCTTGTATTTTCAGAGGAGAAGATTTTTGTTAACGGACGACGCTGGACGACGGACACCAAGTGATGGTGAGCTAATGTCACTTTTTTCATAGTAAAATTCAGCTTATCAATATTCTGAGTGCCAAAAAAATCTTATCTTTTAAAGTTCAAATTATATCTTACTCAATATTGAAAATTGCATAAAATTAAGGAGATATGGTAACATTTTTTTAAAACTTACCTTTCTTTTTACTTCTTTGTTCTTCAATTTGGTCATCTGCAATTTAAAAAGAGAGGACATAACCAAGGAAAGATTCATTCTCATAAGTCAGCCAACCAAACAATAAATTTTCTAATTAGAATGAATTTGATATAATTCAAATGATTAGCTAATGTATAGAAATGCATACATTCATATATTTCAAATAAAATTGGTTGATAAAAATTTATAATAGTTAATATCCACATGATCGATAATACTTAATCTATTACCTTTACTTTTTCTTTTTAACCCTCTCTTGTGTGAACTGCTGCCTAATAAAGAAAAAAAAAGAAACATGAACTTTTAAAGAAAAATATGCTATAAATCCCTTAACCATGTTATTGCAATACTAATTGCAGTGCATGTCAAAATAAAGTTGATAACCACAATTATGTATTTATAGGATTAAAATGTCTATGTGGATATTTTAAATCACTATTTCCTGTAAAATCTACATTTGGTTACTGACATAATAAAATGCCTTTGAATACTATAGTGGTTTTGAATATTCAGACAAACAAATGTTGTCTCATTTTTACTGTAAAGGTATTCAAATGTAGTATCATGTCAGAGTCCTGATCATAAACATAGAAAAGGTAAGAAGATACCAAGACAAAGCATAAAATAAACCTTACTAAAAGTCAGGAAATACTCCTCAAATGCTTTTCTATGATAAACATTTCCAGCTTCACTAGTTGTAACCTTTGTGTTGTTCGTTAGAAGCGAAAATATGGTGACAAGTTGCATTCAGTGAATAATAAAAACTAAAGATAGAGATACTTTGGCTGCAGTAAATATTTCTTTTGAATGGGCCATATCAAGATTGTGTGAAAATCAGGAATTGTATTCTTTGATCTATTTTCGCATTATGACTAGGAATAGCAACATTATATTGCATACTTCATACTGTAAACCAACTTATTTTCGCGAGTGATTTATTTTCGTGACTTTCGTGAGAAGAACGATTATGCGAATATAAATCGTCGTGGAAAGTAAAACTTGGATGTTTCCTTATTAATCTTCCTCAAGTTTTGAGAATCGCGAAATTAAATCGGCGCGATATGGGATAGAAACAGCTAAACACAAAATTAAGTATCCGTGAAAAATAAGTTGTTTGACAGTATATATTTCTTTTAATTGATTTTTGTTGTTGTTGATAATTCACTTCTATATACTGACTAGTGTTAGTTTTGTCCTGTTGTAGACTAGACATAGTTTTGGTTTAAGTAAAAAATCATGAGTGCCTAGTGAATTGAATGGTCTTTTCTATTATTTTCTTTCAAACAGTTTTATTTTTATGTAGTAATCAATGTTCATTGAGAAATTCATTAGAGTTGATGTTAGTATTCTAAAAAGAATGAGACAAGGGTTTCCTATCTGGAATTCTTTTTAGGAGGGTTGGTTATCTCTCAGGTGTTATCAAACCAAGGTTTCTGAATTGTTTGATTGAGATATACAAATTATTTTATCACATCCATGGCAATAATACCAAATTTCCTTATTTACAATAGTTCCAAATTCTGGAACGATGTGTGGGAAATTATTAAAGAAATGCCATTTGAGAAATTGCACAACTTTAATAACGGTGCAATCTTTCTGTAAATTTTTTCAAATATCCTAGGATTAGTAAATTACCAAAGATGGTACCTTTTTCAACCTGCTCCCGTAACATTATTGTACTGGTTTTTGTTCATCATTGAAGGCTGTACTTTGACCTATATTTGATTACACCCACATCACTTAATCTTCGGTAGATTAAACTATTTCAATTGTAATCATACCACACATCCTTACAATTTTCATTTTGTGTTCAAGCAAGCCAAAATATATACCTTCACCATAATCTGTACTATAGTCACTTTCTGGACTAGAATCATTCTCTGAGTCACTTTCTGGACTAGAATCATTCTCTGAGTCACTTTCTATACTAGAATCATTCTCTGAAGAACTGTATACCACGACTGAAAAATAATTATCAGAAGTTATATTTTAACAATAGATAACCTTATATAAACATATGTTCATTGAATTTTTTTCTGAACAATTTTAAAAATACCAATTAGTTTAAATAAGATTTTGAAGGAAATATGTTAAGTAAATTTTCTCAATGGCTATTCTGCTTGACCTGAGAGAGTCTAGTGTCAAATACTTCCTCTCCTGCAAACACTAAACACTTATTCTTTTCAAGGTTAAATTGTCCCCTTGGGTGCAGGACATTTTAGTAACAAATTTGTAACTTCAGGGGTACTCTTTAGTTTAGCATTTTAGTGCTAATATTATAGTCCTTTTAGGCTCTGGATTAATCCATTTACCTGTATTTTCTATGGCCCATTTGAGCAAAAACTTATGCCTAGTTGAATAATACTACAAGGCCTATGATAAAACCATGAACAGTAATGTATGCTAGGTTAGTGTCTAATTTGTTTGTATTTAAAATTTTGTTAAAAATAGAAATAAATGTTGTTGAAACAAACAAAAGATAAAAATGCAATATGTGATGGTGTTTCTGTATACTATTATCAAATTACAATTCTCCAAAATGTCCTCCACAGGTCTCGTTTTAGCAAGGACATTATCAATTATAAATTCACAAGAAAATGTTCTTGTAAATAATAACAATAAAAACATCATTGAGATAAAAAAAAATATATAAAAAAATGGTATGGTATAACTTCCATACAATGATATTATTTCCCTACTCCAATAGCAAACGAGGAATACAGCAGGCTATAGGAGCTTTGAGTAAAATTGGTTTAAAATGTTGCTATATAAATAATTTCTTAGAGTACAAACTTCAATTCATTTTTTGATAGGTGTATACCTCTCTTGAACTTGCCAATATTTCAAATATGTATCCAGCCATAGATGAGAGAAGTTCATTTTTTAACAATTTTTTTTTATTTCACATACTTATGCAATTAACTCAATAAATAATGAAAATAAAACATCATGTGTTTGCATATGTTTCTAATAACACATGCACAGTAATGTAAGATTGTTTAGAAATAATTTTATTTATATCATAAGTTACTTTTCTATTGGTTAATTGGTTTTACCACTGAATTTCTAACTTGACATTTTTTTTAAACCAAAAAATCTGAAAAAGAACCATCCCCTAATGAAAATGTTTAAAATAATTTAAAAACACAAACTTCAATTGGTATGATTTGAATTGTTAGTTACTAAATGTCTAGTAGCATATATTTCATGCATATTCAAGATCATTGGTATGAGAACTTTAAAATAAAACAATGCAGACTAAAAAATCTGAAAGGTAAAACATATCATCGTAATAATAAATGGTATAATTTGATATTTTGAAGGTCTTTTACAGCCATTTCATACATTTAAGTGATAATTTAAAGCATATAATTGAGGTGGTTAATTATGCTTAACCCTGTAATTTTGTGGAACTCAAAGTTAAAGTAAGAAAATACATATTACATTTCTTTTGTCCTTTCTTTTCAGTACTTTTTGTCAATTCACTGCTACCTTCATCTACTAAAAGTGGAAAAAAACAGTAATCCTTTAATTTTATATACAAAAATAATTTATTAAAATTAATTAAATAAACTAAACACAAGTGAACCTGAACGCCTGGTAAATCTTCTGTCAGTAGATTTCATACAGTGGTATACAGGGTTGTTACAATAAAAACATAAAATGAAGAAGGTAAGGTAACAACAACACTTTAAGGACAGACAATTAAAAAGTCACAATGTTGCTATGGTGAGTAACGTTATAAATAACAATTGAAAGAGAAAGTGAAAGTAAGTAGATTATATGGAAGTAAACTATTAAAGGGGCTCTAGCTGTCAAATTCATGTTCACCAATTTAACTAAAATTCTCATATTTGATTTATAACAATGTAAACATTTGTCCAAACTATTGAAAGTTTTAAATTAACAGTTTACAGGTCATGAGCTCTATAATATGTAGCTTCGTTTCGTGTGTATTTTAGTCCAGACGCCATCATATTAAATATCGAGTTAACCTTTGATGACCATATAAGCGATTTAAACATAAATATAGATATAAATAGATTAAGCAACTTGTGCAATTAGATTTTTCTAGGTCTGTTTAATTTCATATTATAGATTAAAAATATATGTTTATTATTGTTTTTACCTGTATAAGAATGATTTTTTGTGGATCTAATCAGTCAATCAAATAATTAACTTTAGTTCCACTTTAAATGTTGACATTCTTTTCCCTTAAATAACTTTACACGGACAATTCATGCATTATCCATCTCTAGCTAAGGAGTTACATTGAAGTTCATATGAATACGGATGCATTGGGATTGAATTATTCACTTGCAAGTGAATAATTCATCATCAATGTTTCTTAGATTAATTTGACAAAATTGAACCATACTGGCTGCTTAAAGCCAATAATTATTTCACTATTTCACTTTCATTAATGATTGTACAAAAAAAATCATATTTTAGATTTTTTATATATCTCGTAGCTAGTGCCCCTTTAAGATAAATTAAAAATACAATTTTGTTGTTGTTAAAATGATAATATATGTGTACATGTACTATAAATTGAAAATATGTTACATGCAATTATCTAAATTAATGAATGCATACCATTACAATACAAATTATTATACCTTACATATGTACTAAACAATTCTTTTGGGTAAAACACTATCACGTGACATGGAATAATTCAGTAAATTTTCATTTAAATTGAAGGAAGCATGAATAATCCTAAAAATTAACACCCAGCGATGAATAACCCTACAAATTAACACCCATTGGGGAATAACCTTTTGAGCCTCTTGGTTTCTGCACAAGTTCTTTCTCATAGAAAATGACTTCATCAACGTTTGTAAACAAAATGGCAAGCCAGCGGTTTGGGAACTCTACAGAGGACAATATACAAAGACTTCTTTGTGACAAAGACGCTAAAAACACAAAAAAAGCAACCAAAGCAGCTTTGACATGTCTGATGCAATTCATGTTATCGACAGAAAGAGATAACTT